AAATAGTGAAAGTCATAGAAGACATCGTGTCACATAATACCACTTCTTCATTGCATAAGGTAAATAAGTCGTTTTTTTTTCTGGTTGAAATAATTAATCATGAATTTTTCCTTTAGAACAATATTGTTGCTGAAGAATTTTCAATAAAAAAAGAAGCATTTGTCGGCATGACATGTTCATGGTACTCTAGTGCTGTAAACAATTCAGATCGAATGTTTTATTGTGTTACATCCTCAAGTCCCACCGTCACAACTGGAATAATGAACAAGAAAATAGACGCGTCTGTACAAATCCCAGCATCTCTGTTTAGTCAACTAAAAGAGCAGGAAGAGCCGGTAGATACAGAAGAGGTGCAGCGCCTTCTAGTGGTAATGATGGCAAACGGAAAGCTGTTTTCTCTGGACGAATCGTTAAAAGGTTCCAAGGCAATTACGTTACCTGTAATTGGAGTCAAACTGGGTACGTGTGCACACCAATTTAAAAAATATTCAAAGCGTAGCAAATAGTACTCTTTTCTTGATCCACAGCAATTGATATGCTGCAGATTTGACATTATTCTTTTCAATACTGACTAACTATATTTCAATTTGTCTTTTCTTTTTATATAGCCAACAATACCGCCGTTTCCAATTTAACAGAACCGATATATATAATGCTTCGAATTCCGACTACTTACTACGATTCGACTGCCTCAATTCCTGTGTGGTGGGATCCAGAAGCTAATGAGGGACGAGGTAACTGGACATCTGAGGGTTGTCAATTCAGTCACGAAATCCGTGAGAATCTCATATTTAGTTGTAAAAATTTCGGTTACTACGCTTTTCTCGAAGATGTTACCAAGTACAATGTGATCGAAACGGGCGCGAAATTTAAATTGTCGCACCCGGCAATCTACATCGGCAGTTTTGTGCTTTTTTCCTGTCTTTTGATCACAATTACCACGTATGCATTTTGTTACGTATCGATACAGATGCCTAAAAAGGCGAAACATTCACTGATTAATCTGTGGATCGTTATAATGATGTTAGTGTACATTTACGTATTTGGAATCTATCAAACTGAGGACACCTTTTTGTGTCAGATCGTTGGAATTGTATTGCATTATTTGACACTGTCTTCGTTGCTTTGGGTCGTGGTGGGAGTGAGTACAATGTACAGACGTTTAAATAAGAGCGACGCAATAGATCTGAACGAAGACGAATTACCATCGGATCAACCTATTCAAAAGCCCATTCTAGGCCTGTATTTGGTCGGATGGGGCGTGGCACTTATTGTATGTGGTATTTCGAGTGCAGTAAACATGAAGGAGTATGCCGCATACGACTTTTGCTTCCTAAACTCGCCCCCTGCGCTCAGTGCACTTTTTATTCCCACAGTTATCCTATATGCCCTACTGGGAATTCTGTTTCTACTCATTCGATGTACCATATACAACACTGATGTAAATGGTCACTTAAGCGAGGGTACTCAAGCCACCGAAAACGTAGATTTGGATTTGTTAGAACCTAGTTTTCAAACTAATGACAGGCACAGTATTCTTTCTGTAAAAACGAGATCAAGCGAAATAGAAGACCAAGAACACTCTCCTTCTGCACAGTTGAAGGCTCAAGTTATATTTTTATTAATATACACAGTTGCTTGGTTCTGTTGTGCCTTTGCCACGTCTACGCCCTTCCATTTGGAACACGAAGCAGAGATTTTTAGTATTTTGTATGCGGTTTTTGCCTCACTTTTGGGAGGTTTTACGTTTTTCTTTTACTGTGTTGCAAGAAGCGACATACGAAGTAGGTGGTTGAGCTGTAAAAGAAGCAAAACGGCATATTTTCGCACCAGAAACGTATCTGACACATCTCAGAATATTCAAATACAATCTTTGCCATTGCCCTCTGTAAGCAACCAAAATGGCGAAGCCCAAGTGACCTCTAGGTCAAGCAGTAGAAGTTCTACTAAAACTAAATCAAATTCAAATAATAGTAACCTTTTGAAAGCGGTCACCAATGTGAAAGCTACTGCTGCAGTCCCAAATGCTGATAAAATAAATAATATGAATTTAGTACTGCTTCATACCCAACAGTACCGTATAGGCATACCGGTGCCTAACATAATAGAAAATCCAGCCAGCTCGGTGCAGATGTTTTACAATCCTTATCAAAGCACTGTTGCCAGGAAGTTCTTTCGGAAACAAAGACAACATATGATGAAACGTAACAATTTCCCTGTCCGGAAGTGCGACAGCGACACAACATCGGTCATCTCTGTGCCCAAATCAAATAACGATGCCGAACAAAACATTTTTGGAACCAGTTCAAAAGTAAATAACACAAATATCCACGTAGAACGAATAAAAAGGAGCAAACATCGTAATCCAAATATATATTCGGACAGTTGTGAAGATTTAAGTCTGCCGCTAGATAAAATGGCAATTAATAGTGAACGCACTCGAAGAAGAGAATACCCTCGGCACCGTACGAAGAAAAAACAGAACGTTGCCCGTAGCAAAGAAGCACTGGAGACGCCGGATATGCGTACTGTCTCTCAGCAATGCAGCCTTGAATATACATCCGATACATCGGCACTAGACGTTGCCCAAATGCCTTTGGATACGTTTGAATTACCCCAAACGGTGGATGAAGACAAGCTGAGCCTAAGTCCAGCGAAATCGGTGGAACTTAAGGTAACGTTCCCTCCGACCAATTTTAAACGCGCTCAAAGTAGAGCGAGTAGCTTTTCGGCCAGTGAATTGGACGAATTATATCAGCAGATACGTAGAGGTAACGGTTCGACTAAAGTAAAGCAAAAGGGCCATTTGAGATGTCATAGCCCTTGGCTGTCGGATTCAGAAATACATTCGTATGCGGGCGAGGCGGTAAAAAAGGCACGTACTATTTATAGCCTAGATGAATTCGATGATAACGTGGAGACTACAGTTTAACATGAAGATTGACAGAGCTTTTGCTTTGCTTTTAGCTTTAAATGTTTCCGATTTTAAAAAAATTAAAACGAAAAAGAATCTGCACTTGTTTAATAATTATAAGAGATCTGTTTTGCGTTAATTACTTATCTTTTCATTCTAGGAAACCTTAAGCAGCTAAAAAAGTTATAGACTGGTTAGTAGTACAATTTTTTTAATTTAGTTCAAGTATTTGCAATTTTAGATTTTAGTTGAAATTGGTTCCTTGGTTGTTTCCTTCATTTAAACAATTTCAGTGAAAGATGTCCTTTTCTATGAGAATATTTGCCTATATCGTTTATGTATATATGTTTTTGTATTAATATTTTTTATACTACGTTTTAATAAGTAATATGTGTACAAACCAACTTGCCTTTGTAAGATTAACAAAAAAAGAGAAAAGAAATGAACATGTTCTGTGCTCAATAAGTGTTTGTTACTGTAAAGAGCTGATCCAGTAATGTTTATGTTTGCTGAGTCTTCCAAAATTATTTAAAAATCGTCTCATTGCAATAACAAACTCATTTACAAGATACATGTCGTATTTAATAAATTAAATGTATGATAAAAAGTGCATTATGTGTGATTTAATTCAAAATATATATGTGCAGGGTGTTATTTTTATAAGCAACAATATTTTTGATCGAAAAATACGTTTTACAGTCAAAAATCTTAGCTAACAAAAAATGACTAATTAGGAAAATTATCACAAACTACAGACACTTTTTTATCTTCTCTTTTATAGAACAACTTGAACATTTCGTCTATGTATATACATATATATATATATAAGGTGTTTACACACATTTTTAAATTAAACCATACTACTACTAAGTTTTTTGACTGTATTATGTTTCATTGCAAATAGTAATTGTCAGGCAAGTCTAATGTAATTTGTCCGTTTTGAATTTGAAAAATGTCAATTAGTCATTAAATATTTTTTCCAATTATGTAAAAATTTTGTAAATTTATCGAAGTTCTTAGGATTTCGCGTCCTATATAGATTGGTAGCAAACTTCTCTCTGAGATATTTTCCTGTGGTCCAAGAAGAGAAAAATTCAATGGACCACACAAGAATAGCCTGAAGAGAAGTTTAAAACGAATTGTAATTTATTTTTTAAAGGCTTGCCTTAAACGTAACTACCTATAAAGAAGTTGTTATATGTGTACTTATTAAAAGCATAATTGTTGCAAATGAAAAGTAAATACTCTTCAAAAATTATATATAAATAACGATATAATGAATACTGTATTGTTTTAATGCACGATTGCGGCAAATATAGCGTACAATTTTAAGACTGTGTTTTATATATATACATTCGTATCCGTAGTTTTGCTATACATTTCGATGTAGTTTTAATGGTATATTTATACTTATCAAATAAATAATTAATAAATGTGCCAAAAACGTTGTTTTCGTTTGTGTTGGAATTTGAAAATGTTGACCACGAAATGCGTCTAAAAAACTTCATTGTTTTGAAAATATACCGGGAAAAAAATAAACTGTGAAAACATTAAACTTCTTTAACATTGAGAACCGCTTACGTTACGTTAATGATAAAAAAATATTTTAACATCTATCGATAATTGTATTGATATNACTAATTATAACAAAAACAAAAGCTCGATGATACGATGATACATGTTTGGAACTTGCCTCAAAGTGTATGTATGTACTTACAATCTTTGGTCTCTTTCTCTCTGCAACTTTGAATTCTAGAGTGTTTGACGCCGATGAGTTCGAATTAGCGCGTAGTTTTGTTACGTAGCAATGATTTTTTCTTTCGAATTACCAAGTGCATAAAATGATTGATTTTCGCACAAAAACATCATGAAAACGCGAGAGCCGTGTGTACAGTCGTTCCGCACTCTATTTTAAAAACGAAGAGTACCAAAACGTTTAAATTGACACTACTCAAACACTACTTCCGAATTATACACCTACGTGGAGAATTAAAACCTGTTTACATGAGAACAATTGTTTTATTGTAATTATTATTTTATTTCAGTTTATATTTGTAAGTAAATTATAGTTTCGTTTTAATTTAAGAAAGCCCTAATTGACCCTCTAGTTTGCGCTTTTATGGTCGAACCTATACAAGGAGAAGCCGGAATAAAAGTACCCTCCGAGGGTTATTTAAAAGGGGTACGGGAACTGTGTACCAAACATAACGTTCTCTGGATTGCTGATGAAGTACAAACTGGACTAGGGAGAACAGGAAAAAGACTAACTTGTGATTATGAAAATGTTAAACCGGATATCTTAGTCTTAGCCAAAGCTCTGGGGGGCGGACTATATCCTGTTTCAGCAGCCTTGGCTAATGACGACATCATGCTGGTTTTAGAACCAGGTAAGGTTCGATTAGATTTTACCATTTTTATTTTTAAATATTAAACGTTCTTGAATTATTATTGGTTTAAAAAACCTAACTGTCGCAAAACTTTTTGCAAGAAGTTGGTGTTTCCTTGCCGATTTTGTGGACCAGACCTGGTGGAAGACCTAATAGGCGTTTAGTAAACCCCATTCTCGGAAATATTTCCAGTGTGGGCCAAGTACCGGTGCGGCAAAATTAAGGAAATAAAAAAAAATATATTTAAAATCAACATCGAAAAGCACTCGTGGAATTATTGGGAAATGGAATTTATTATCAAGCTTTGAGAATTTATTATACATGTAAAAAGTCACGTAGAATCTCTTGGTGCCAGCGGTTTTGGAATGCGGTACAAGAAGGTACCTTTCGGTACTATTTTTGCTAAAATGCATATAATAATTTAAACATAAAAAGCGTTCATGAAATTATTGAGAGATATTAGACATTTGCCAAGGGTTGAGAAGTGATAATTATGTAAAATAGTACGTAGAACCTCGTGGTGCCATCGATTTTCGGCATTTTTTGGTACAAAAATATGTATAAAATAATTTAAACATAAAAAAGTGTTCGTTAAATTATTGGGAGATGGAAGGTACGGACCCTGAGATTATTAGTCATTTCAGACCCACCCCTTTACCCTTTTGCATTTTACTCAACACATGGGTTCAGTCTGTTTCTCCGGTCTTGTGGACATTCTCAGAGTTTATCAAATACAAAATATCATCTCAGAATCAGAAACAGAAGAATTAAATTTAACCTAATCCAAAAATGAACCCTAAGAGTGTTCTATGAAATCAGTGACGAAACATCAACATCTTGAACATTTTTGACCATAATAATTATCAGCTAATGAACAGTTGTAATGGTTTCTCTTTTCGTTTTCAAGGAACTCATGGTTCTACATTTGGAGGAAATCCTCTGGCATCTAAAATTGCTATGACTGCTCTGGATGTTTTGGAAGAGGAAAATATAATTAATAATTCTTTCAACATGGGGCAAAAGTTTAGAAAGGGTTTGGAGGATTTAAAATCAAATCAAGCAGTTGTAGATGTAAGAGGAAAAGGTCTTCTCAATGCTATAGAATTTAATAGTAGTAAGTACTTTATAATATAGGAATATTTTTTTAAAAAATAGTTACTGGCATATTTTTGTAGATATTCTTAATGCATGGGATGTTTTAATTGAACTAAAAAAGCGAGGAATCGTAGCAAAACACACCCATGATGACATAGTACGCTTATCACCACCTTTAATCATTAATGAAGAACAAATTGAAGACACTGTTGATATAATAAAAAAAACTATTAATGACATGACAAAGTAGTTGTCATTTGCATTATAGATATTGTATATTTTGTAATAAAAGATTGTATTTTTATAGTCACTCCTTTTTACTCATCCTGTATGTGGAACTTTCTATCACCCTGTACATATAGAAGTAGATATTTATAGTTTTTTGCGGTTGGCTGCATTTTATTACCCATTCAAAACAAACATATATCGGCGTTGTCGAGTTTGACATTTAACAAAAAAGGGCAAAAAAGATGGAATTAAATTTACAAAAACTAACTTATCAAAATAAATTAAAGCTATTAATTTATAAAACTTAGTCGCTTTCCATACAATTAAAGCAACAGTTAATTTATTAGTGATGATAGTGTTTAACGGTTTGTTTTACTGCGGTCGTAACAATGAAAATTCTTTATTTATTAAATTCTATCGGTTTGTTATTAATAAATATAATAAACCCTTTGTTAAGTGTAAATACTTGCCCTGAAAAGTGCTTATGTAGAGAGGTGCCCCAAAAGGATAAGTTAGTTTGGACGAAACTTCGCTGTGGTGATACAGAAAAAATTAAGCATTTAGATGAATTAGACCTACTAAACATTGCAAATGAAATTTTATACTTGTAAGTCTTTTTACCATTAGTAGTATATTAAGTACTAAACAACCTTTTTTGTAGAAACTTGTCAGACAATTACTTAACCAATTTCAGTCCCAAAATACAATTTCTTGCCCTGCAAAGACTGTAAGTATACTATATATTATTTTTTATCGTTATTACTTATAAAAACTTATTTAATCACAGAGATCTTAGTAAAAATAAAATAGAAGCTTTACAAAACAAACAGTTTGAAGAGGTACCAAACCTTCGAAGATTGGATATTTCTAACAACCTCATTAAGTTAGTTGAGCCACAAGCTTTTGCTGGACTAAAGTATTTGGAAAGATTAAAATTAAACCAGAATCTCATATCCACCATTCAAAAGGGAACTTTTAAAACACTCACATTTCTAAAGCAACTGTGTGTACTTTATTTACATTCTGTCTAAAAAGTTTTTCAATAAATTATTGTTTTAGTGATATCTCGAACAATCCTTTAACATGTGATTGTGAATTACTGTGGTTGCTAGAATGGACCCAACAGCAATCTGTTAAAATTGCTTCTAATCCAAAGTGCAGTTCCCCTGCTACATTTAAAGGTGTTCCTTTGAGGAAATTAAAAATTGGTACTGATATACATTGTAAATCTCCTGCTGATGACAAGGAAATCCCAATGATTGATTTACATTTAAGAAATGACCAAATTCTTTTTGAAGGAGATTCATTCAGGCTTAAATGCATATCACCATTTATTCCAGATACGTATCAATCTGAAACTGAAACCAAATCAGATCTGCTTTGGTTTTGGGAAAGTAGTCAGAAAGATGTAATAAGATCTTTCCACACAAATAATTATTTTTATTCTGAAAAGGGCTTAATAGAAAGTGAAATTATAATTCCAAAAATAAACCAAAATTACTCAGGTTTGTTATACTGCCAAAGAACTACTGATGAAGGAAACTTCACTAAAGCAATAAATTTAATAATTATTTCCAAAAATAGTCAATTTTGTGAGATGACTACAACATTAACTAACAAAGGAAATTACTATTGGCCCAAAACACTAACCAACAACACAGTTTACTTGCCTTGTGAATTTATACAAGTTAATGTAAAAGTTTCTGAACAGCAAGCATCTTACTACTGCTCTTCTGAAGGCCAGTGGGAAAACCTTAACACCTCTAATTGTACATATACTTCCGAAATTACAAGGACTCTGGAACAATTCTCTAAGCTAAATTTAAGCTTGAATTTGAATATTTACGAAAGAGCTAGGCATTTTAAGAACTTTACGAGTAACTTAAGGTTATTAAAAGATGTAATGGATTTGGTTTTTCTAGTAAGAACCATTGAAAATTATATTCCATATCTTTCTTTTGATAAAGAATTAGGAAACATTTTAATTGATATTATTAATTTATTGATGACTTTGCCAGAAAATTATTTGAGGAAAGCCGATGAAATAGATGGAAGTCTAGATAAAATAGTGAAAGTCATAGAAGACATCGTGTCACATAATACCACTTCTTCATTGCATAAGGTAAATAAGTCGTTTTTTTTTCTGGTTGAAATAATTAATCATGAATTTTTCCTTTAGAACAATATTGTTGCTGAAGAATTTTCAATAAAAAAAGAAGCATTTGTCGGCATGACATGTTCATGGTACTCTAGTGCTGTAAACAATTCAGATCGAATGTTTTATTGTGTTACATCCTCAAGTCCCACCGTCACAACTGGAATAATGAACAAGAAAATAGACGCGTCTGTACAAATCCCAGCATCTCTGTTTAGTCAACTAAAAGAGCAGGAAGAGCCGGTAGATACAGAAGAGGTGCAGCGCCTTCTAGTGGTAATGATGGCAAACGGAAAGCTGTTTTCTCTGGACGAATCGTTAAAAGGTTCCAAGGCAATTACGTTACCTGTAATTGGAGTCAAACTGGGTACGTGTGCACACCAATTTAAAAAATATTCAAAGCGTAGCAAATAGTACTCTTTTCTTGATCCACAGCAATTGATATGCTGCAGATTTGACATTATTCTTTTCAATACTGACTAACTATATTTCAATTTGTCTTTTCTTTTTATATAGCCAACAATACCGCCGTTTCCAATTTAACAGAACCGATATATATAATGCTTCGAATTCCGACTACTTACTACGATTCGACTGCCTCAATTCCTGTGTGGTGGGATCCAGAAGCTAATGAGGGACGAGGTAACTGGACATCTGAGGGTTGTCAATTCAGTCACGAAATCCGTGAGAATCTCATATTTAGTTGTAAAAATTTCGGTTACTACGCTTTTCTCGAAGATGTTACCAAGTACAATGTGATCGAAACGGGCGCGAAATTTAAATTGTCGCACCCGGCAATCTACATCGGCAGTTTTGTGCTTTTTTCCTGTCTTTTGATCACAATTACCACGTATGCATTTTGTTACGTATCGATACAGATGCCTAAAAAGGCGAAACATTCACTGATTAATCTGTGGATCGTTATAATGATGTTAGTGTACATTTACGTATTTGGAATCTATCAAACTGAGGACACCTTTTTGTGTCAGATCGTTGGAATTGTATTGCATTATTTGACACTGTCTTCGTTGCTTTGGGTCGTGGTGGGAGTGAGTACAATGTACAGACGTTTAAATAAGAGCGACGCAATAGATCTGAACGAAGACGAATTACCATCGGATCAACCTATTCAAAAGCCCATTCTAGGCCTGTATTTGGTCGGATGGGGCGTGGCACTTATTGTATGTGGTATTTCGAGTGCAGTAAACATGAAGGAGTATGCCGCATACGACTTTTGCTTCCTAAACTCGCCCCCTGCGCTCAGTGCACTTTTTATTCCCACAGTTATCCTATATGCCCTACTGGGAATTCTGTTTCTACTCATTCGATGTACCATATACAACACTGATGTAAATGGTCACTTAAGCGAGGGTACTCAAGCCACCGAAAACGTAGATTTGGATTTGTTAGAACCTAGTTTTCAAACTAATGACAGGCACAGTATTCTTTCTGTAAAAACGAGATCAAGCGAAATAGAAGACCAAGAACACTCTCCTTCTGCACAGTTGAAGGCTCAAGTTATATTTTTATTAATATACACAGTTGCTTGGTTCTGTTGTGCCTTTGCCACGTCTACGCCCTTCCATTTGGAACACGAAGCAGAGATTTTTAGTATTCTGTATGCGGTTTTTGCCTCACTTTTGGGAGGTTTTACGTTTTTCTTTTACTGTGTTGCAAGAAGCGACATACGAAGTAGGTGGTTGAGCTGTAAAAGAAGCAAAACGGCATATTTTCGCACCAGAAACGTATCTGACACATCTCAGAATATTCAAATACAATCTTTGCCATTGCCCTCTGTAAGCAACCAAAATGGCGAAGCCCAAGTGACCTCTAGGTCAAGCAGTAGAAGTTCTACTAAAACTAAATCAAATTCAAATAATAGTAACCTTTTGAAAGCGGTCACCAATGTGAAAGCTACTGCTGCAGTCCCAAATGCTGATAAAATAAATAATATGAATTTAGTACTGCTTCATACCCAACAGTACCGTATAGGCATACCGGTGCCTAACATAATAGAAAATCCAGCCAGCTCGGTGCAGATGTTTTACAATCCTTATCAAAGCACTGTTGCCAGGAAGTTCTTTCGGAAACAAAGACAACATATGATGAAACGTAACAATTTCCCTGTCCGGAAGTGCGACAGCGACACAACATCGGTCATCTCTGTGCCCAAATCAAATAACGATGCCGAACAAAACATTTTTGGAACCAGTTCAAAAGTAAATAACACAAATATCCACGTAGAACGAATAAAAAGGAGCAAACATCGTAATCCAAATATATATTCGGACAGTTGTGAAGATTTAAGTCTGCCGCTAGATAAAATGGCAATTAATAGTGAACGCACTCGAAGAAGAGAATACCCTCGGCACCGTACGAAGAAAAAACAGAACGTTGCCCGTAGCAAAGAAGCACTGGAGACGCCGGATATGCGTACTGTCTCTCAGCAATGCAGCCTTGAATATACATCCGATACATCGGCACTAGACGTTGCCCAAATGCCTTTGGATACGTTTGAATTACCCCAAACGGTGGATGAAGACAAGCTGAGCCTAAGTCCAGCGAAATCGGTGGAACTTAAGGTAACGTTCCCTCCGACCAATTTTAAACGCGCTCAAAGTAGAGCGAGTAGCTTTTCGGCCAGTGAATTGGACGAATTATATCAGCAGATACGTAGAGGTAACGGTTCGACTAAAGTAAAGCAAAAGGGCCATTTGAGATGTCATAGCCCTTGGCTGTCGGATTCAGAAATACATTCGTATGCGGGCGAGGCGGTAAAAAAGGCACGTACTATTTATAGCCTAGATGAATTCGATGATAACGTGGAGACTACAGTTTAACATGAAGATTGACAGAGCTTTTGCTTTGCTTTTAGCTTTAAATGTTTCCGATTTTAAAAAAATTAAAACGAAAAAGAATCTGCACTTGTTTAATAATTATAAGAGATCTGTTTTGCGTTAATTACTTATCTTTTCATTCTAGGAAACCTTAAGCAGCTAAAAAAGTTATAGACTGGTTAGTAGTACAATTTTTTTAATTTAGTTCAAGTATTTGCAATTTTAGATTTTAGTTGAAATTGGTTCCTTGGTTGTTTCCTTCATTTAAACAATTTCAGTGAAAGATGTCCTTTTCTATGAGAATATTTGCCTATATCGTTTATGTATATATGTTTTTGTATTAATATTTTTTATACTACGTTTTAATAAGTAATATGTGTACAAACCAACTTGCCTTTGTAAGATTAACAAAAAAAGAGAAAAGAAATGAACATGTTCTGTGCTCAATAAGTGTTTGTTACTGTAAAGAGCTGATCCAGTAATGTTTATGTTTGCTGAGTCTTCCAAAATTATTTAAAAATCGTCTCATTGCAATAACAAACTCATTTACAAGATACATGTCGTATTTAATAAATTAAATGTATGATAAAAAGTGCATTATGTGTGATTTAATTCAAAATATATATGTGCAGGGTGTTATTTTTATAAGCAACAATATTTTTGATCGAAAAATACGTTTTACAGTCAAAAATCTTAGCTAACAAAAAATGACTAATTAGGAAAATTATCACAAACTACAGACACTTTTTTATCTTCTCTTTTATAGAACAACTTGAACATTTCGTCTATGTATATACATATATATATATATATAAGGTGTTTACACACATTTTTAAATTAAACCATACTACTACTAAGTTTTTTGACTGTATTATGTTTCATTGCAAATAGTAATTGTCAGGCAAGTCTAATGTAATTTGTCCGTTTTGAATTTGAAAAATGTCAATTAGTCATTAAATATTTTTTCCAATTATGTAAAAATTTTGTAAATTTATCGAAGTTCTTAGGATTTCGCGTCCTATATAGATTGGTAGCAAACTTCTCTCTGAGATATTTTCCTGTGGTCCAAGAAGAGAAAAATTCAATGGACCACACAAGAATAGCCTGAAGAGAAGTTTAAAACGAATTGTAATTTATTTTTTAAAGGCTTGCCTTAAACGTAACTACCTATAAAGAAGTTGTTATATGTGTACTTATTAAAAGCATAATTGTTGCAAATGAAAAGTAAATACTCTTCAAAAATTATATATAAATAACGATATAATGAATACTGTATTGTTTTAATGCACGATTGCGGCAAATATAGCGTACAATTTTAAGACTGTGTTTTATATATATACATTCGTATCCGTAGTTTTGCTATACATTTCGATGTAGTTTTAATGGTATATTTATACTTATCAAATAAATAATTAATAAATGTGCCAAAAACGTTGTTTTCGTTTGTGTTGGAATTTGAAAATGTTGACCACGAAATGCGTCTAAAAAACTTCATTGTTTTGAAAATATACCGGGAAAAAAATAAACTGTGAAAACATTAAACTTCTTTAACATTGAGAACCGCTTACGTTACGTTAATGATAAAAAAATATTTTAACATCTATCGATAATTGTATTGATATATTTTTGTTTATATTGAATACGAGGTGCGTCTACATTTTTTTTGTGATTTTTGTTACGTTTAATGTATTTTAAAGGTTTAAGTGTGCGCGTGTTTTGTCGCTTGTGCTCATTTTTGTAAAATACTTGTGATTCGGTATTGTGTTAGTTAATTTACCATGACTGATTATCACATAAACACTCCTGGTATTATGTGTAGTCAAGTGTAAATATTATCACCTTATCTGTTAACAAACTTGCGGATATTTATTCGCAGAATGTTTAACCTTTGACGACGTCGTTTAAAATATAAAATAACGAATAACGACGTTTTGCGTAAAATATGGACAAATCAACGGGTAAAAATCTGTAAGTTAATTCCTATTATTGTGATATTTTTCATTTTTATCTTGTTTTCTAGAACGACGTCGAACACTTATTTTCATCACGATTGTGATTTTGTTTGTTCTGACTATAGTTTTAACTGCTCTGTTTGTTTTGTTCCTCGTTGAAGAGGGGACACAGCAAATTATTCTTTTAATTTTGTTGGGATTGATGATACTAGTTGGTATTTTGGCTTGTGCGGTTATAGAAGCGCACAGGAGAAAAGCGGCCGTCAGAAAAGAACAAAGTGCGCACTTATGGATTCAGCGCACCTTTCATGAGCAAAGGGAACAATATAATCCTTCTGCCCCGCCCATGAGCGCACGAACGTCTTGGGCTTTAACTTCCCCTTGGAAATCCCACAGAGAAACCTCTTTACCTCCTTATTCACCCCCACATTCCCCCAGAAACAACAGATAAATAATTCTATAGCGAAATATTTGTAAATTGTACTTAATAATAGTAGACATGTGATTTTTTTTACCTTATATAAATATTACTACTGAAAACGTAAACGCGATAGTCAAAAAAGTCATTAGCAGTTAAATTAATTGCTTTAAAAATTAATTAAACTATTTCTAGTTGAGCTTGAGTTTATAAGGTAATAAATATAAATTTTATATAAATAAAAAACGGTTTTCTCTTTAAAATAGCTTTGATGCAGTGAATATGATCAACAATAATAATTTAAATAAATCTTCAAAGAAATTCTAGGCATCAAAATCACAAAATCGATTAGTTATTCAGTTATTCTCTTAATACTGATGATTTTATTCCTTCATTATGCTTTAGTAAAGAATTTCATCAGTGTAGTTTGATTACCAACAGGCTTTTTGGATTTGCCTTTTGCTTTTGAAGTTCCATTACCAGTGTTTTCTTCTTTAACTTTTTTAAAGTTTACTTCATGATGTGTATCTTTAGCTTCAGGTGCCTTGTTATCCTTACTCTCCTTTTTATCGTCTTTAATCGTATTTTTCTTTTCATCTTCAGATTCATCATCCACACAGACCCATTTTTTACAAGTCATAATGTATCCATCTTCATCAGTAAATGTTTGCTTAACTAGTTTTCTTTTTTTGTTTGTCGAATCAAGACCTGATGTTGGTTTGTATAATAACAATAAGTCATCCTCTTCATCTGATATATGCATGGGCTCTTGATGCTCTTCTTCATCATCATTGGCAAAAATATCATCACTGTCGGAATCATTAGGTTCCACAATCCGTTTTCTTTGTTTCTTATTTTTAGCAGTAGAATTACTTGCAATACGTTTTCTTTTGTTTTTTGGCTTCTCATCTTTTCGATTTGTATTCTTTGGGGTTCTCTTCTCTTCCTCACTATCATCAGTATCTATAATAGTTTGTATTTTATCATTAAGCTTGTTAATTTCTTTTACATCTTCTTCAGTGATTGATGTTGATTTATCTGGTTTAACATTACTTTTGGAAATGCAAATATCAGATTGGGCCTTTTGTTTTGGTGGCATTTTAGATATGAAATTTGCAATTCCTTTGGCAGTCCCATTTTCTTTCTTTGCTGTCGTACTACTCACAACAGTTTTAACATTGCTTTCACTTGCACTTTTAATACTTTTGGCGGGTACATTAATAAATAACGAAGGTTTATGCTTAGTAATGTCAGTTTTCTTTAAGGCAGGAAGTGGTGCTTTTTGTTTAAGAGTTCTCTTAATGCATCGTTTACTAGATAAGCTTCCTGCAACACTGCCTACTACTTCAGAATTAATCAATAATTCTTTAAAATCAGTTTCATTCTTCTTATATATGCTGTAAATAAATTTACAAGACACATCTGCAAATTCACGAAAATTGTCATCAAACTCTGCTTGCTTAATAAGTAAAGTACGGTAAGAATTATCATTTAATTTGCCAGAAATCCAATAAACAATTTCTAAGTCTCCTCCTTTATGATTTGTGGTATAAATTTCCAATAGTTTTTTTGAATCTTCTACGTTTACATCTAAAGTCTTGCTCAACCATTTAAATGTTACTACTTTATCTTCATCGTATACAAATTCGTTTATTTTTTTTAAGAAGTGTAATTCAGTTGTCGAATCCATGTCACAAAAACAATTCTTTATAAACTTTTGCCTAGCATTTATAGTGAAAATTACTTGAAAAAATAAGATGGATAAATAATACAATTACGCCACTTACTTATGAATTTTTAGCGGTTTAGTTTACATATAAATTTTACCGTTCTGTTTTCGGTGTAGAACTTAACTTCTATTATTCTCAAAACATTACAAGTATTTATTTGTTATCTGATTAAAATTTTACTTATGGTTGATAGCATGAATGAGATAAAAATACTAAGAGGTGATAAACATGAAAATCCTTTTCGTTTCTCGAAGAATTTCAGTTTGAATTGATTATAAGAAACTTATTTTTGTATATGAACTAATATCTGATATCATATATTATAGTCTCTCAACAACACACAGTTGAAAATTTCATGAAGTTTATTACTGTACTGGGTTATTAACTGTACAAAAAATTGTTTAGAATTTGTTTTTTCTTTATTTTTAAATAACATGATTAAGAAGAAAATTTTACCATAAAAAATTAGGGAACTCCTATTACGGCTGTTACATTAGACACTTATATTTTGTAAATAAATTAATATTTTGACGTGATTTTGACACTCTCCTAATTGTTCTTAACCGTTTTTAAAAATTTCAAAAAAATTGATAAATAGCTTTTATAAATAAGTTTTTAAGGAGAGAAAAACTTCTAAAAATGTGCAAATGTAGAAAATATATAACTTAAAAGGATTCTAATTAATTTTGTGTTAGAATCATTTACATAGTGCTTTATTAAGGTTTCTTAGATATTATTTTATTGAGCGATTTATTATTAATTACTATAGGTGAAGAATTGAAGCGTATTATTAACAGTATCTCTTTAGACTATTCTATTTCTTTCAGAAAAAAATGGGAAAACCCAATATTAGTCGTACATATGAAAAAAAGTCTGCTACTGCTGTTGTTAACAGCCTCTTTGCAAGAAACATTACTAAGAGGAAAACGGAAAAAATTAAACAAAAGAAAGTGAAAAGAACTGTTCAAAAAATTTGTATTAGTGATTTACCACCTGTAGATCATAACCATCATTTATTGAATGACTCTTTTAAAAATGATTCTCCTATAACTGACTTGTTTGATCAAATAAAACGAACAGAGGTCTATAACCCTGTAAATTTAAAACCTACAGTACATTATTTTAGTTCAGACAGTGAAGTGTCAAAAAATTATAAGACTGATAGTATACCACTTATTAGCATAATCAATCCAACCCCTGTTAAGAGGGAAAAAAGACCCAGAAAAATTACAACCAAAAGGAAGAATAAGGAGTTCATAAAACATTCAAAACATTGTGTACACAATAGAAACAGTAGTACAAAAGAACAGAAGACATTAGACAAATCTGTGAATGTAGAATTATCAATTGAAAATGAACTGCAGAAAAATATAGAGTATAATACTTTGAATATTACATGTAGCAAATTATCTGCAGACAATGATGTATTGGGACCTTTTATAGAATTAGCTAGGCCACAAAAAGAGCAATTTGTAGATGATACAATTTATGTCACAAGTACACCTCTAGAAACTTATCGAAGAAAAATTGATTACAGTTGTTTGTCTCCAATTCTTGCAAAAAGCAAAAGATTTACATCACAATCAGTTGGTTTGTCTTCAATTGACTGTTTAGTGGAAAAGTCACTAGATGAAATCAGAAAGTGGGATTATGTTGTCCCTGATTTTAGTTATTCTGTCCCAAAAAACAATTCAACAACAAAAGGAATGATGTTTGGTAATTCTCGTAAATCATTTATTAGTGCAAATAATTCCTTAAAGAGTGTATTAGAAGTACCAAGAAGAAGGAAGACCATAGACTATTCTTCATTAAATAGTACTTCATTACTTAAACCAGTAACAAAAAAAAATAGACGTACCTCTTGCATCGGTTTTAATGCTAATGGAGACCGTTTATCTAATTGTTGCAAAGAGAAACCTATACGTTTAAAAGAATGCTGTGTAAAATTGAAATATTGTGTGGAATTGGAAAAAAGAATAGATTGGAAATTAAACTGCAGTCCATTTGTTAAATTAGATTACTTAATTGATATTTTAGGAATAAATACAAGTATAAGCTGGAGCAATTTAAAGGATAGCACCAATGAAAATAGTACAAATAGCTCTATTAACTTAAGAATAAATAAAAGGAATGTCAAAATAAAAAATAAGCGAAAGAAGTATAGGAAAGGAAGGCTTCCTTTAAAGGTTCTCAAAAATATTAAAAAAAAGAAAAAAACTAGCAAGAAAAATATTTTCAAGTCTTCATTTCGTTATGAAGAGGATAAACCGTACCATTTGCCACAAAACAAAGATGTCATTTCTAATAATTTAGGTTTGTTAAAGAGGTCGTTAACAAAGAAATATAATAAATTACTAGATAAGTTGCCTTCAAATATTCATAAAAAGTTTATCAAACAGCCACATGTTGCGTTAATGCGAAATCGTGAATTAGAATACTGTTTAGTAAACAGAAAAACTAGAAACAGCAGCAGAAGACCCACTTTATTTTTATCAAAAGACGCTAGTACGAAAAGGAGCAAAAATAAAAACATTTATTCCGATATCTGCTCATTAGATAAAGAAATTAGCGTAATCGTGGATGACATTGTAAATACGTCGCAAAACTGCCCCACTAATTTTATCACATTGAGAAGAAAATTAAAAGGAAATAATGATATTATTGGAGACCTAGTAAAAACACCCCTTAGCACTTCAAGACAGACTAAGTGCAATGAGAAAATGTATAACTCAAATGGTTTATTAAACAAACGCATTACTGGTATTGACTTACGAAGATCTGTATCTTTGAAAACTTTTGACGTTGATAATTGTTCTGATAACGAGACAGATCAATCACATTATCCAGTAAACATTGTTAAATCCGACTGTACGTCTAAACCTAAAGAGCCATTACATATAAGCAAAAAGCTAAATAACGATATCGCAAAACTTCTTCAATCTCCACTTAGCGATTATGTTAAAAGCAAATGTTTAAATAATCTCAATGCCTCTGTAAAATACAATTCTTCCTCGGATCTGTTTGATAGCAAATCAGATTTGGATTTGTCAGAGTGCACATCACCAGATAGTGCCACAGAAAAATACTTGCTTAACAACAGCTCCTTGAATGTTCATATTACCCAAGACAAAATGGTTAAAAAATGTTTCAAGTCTCAAAATTCTACAATTTCCCAAACAGAATACGTGGATCTTCCTAGCACCTGTTCAACTGTTAAAGATTTAGTAGATATGTCCACACAGACGGATGATCTTTTTTGTATCAGCGATTGTGTGTACGTCCCCTTTGTAAAACCTAGAAGTATTGAAAAAACTCAAAACTCTTCAGCAATTGTTGAGAATATGGAGGACGTTGATTTTGTAATAGAAATTTCTCATAATTCTGCCAGTAATGAATTAAAAAATATAGAAAATACAATTGCATTAAAGCAACTTAATAGGGACGACCCCCTTTTTGTAGAAAACTGCATAGAAAAACTAAGAGAATATGTAGTAAATCCCATATCCAACAGTTCCCTTATTACTCAAAAGGGCAATGTAACTCATAGGAGCAAAGAGAAGAAAATCGTGGAGAATGTAATTGATTTAAATAATTCTTGTAGTGGTAACGTAAACGACGATTTAAATCGTATAGAAAATATTATTGCAACTAAAGACGTTAGCAAGTGTGACTCCCTTCGTGCTGAAAATTGCGTAGAAGAACCCAAAGAATTTGTAGTAGATCCCGCTTCTAACAGCTCCTTTATTACCCAGCAGGGTAAAATAACTCATAGAAGCAAAGAGAAGAAGATCGTGGAGAAAGTCATTGATTTAAATAATTCATGTAGTGATAATGAGAACAACGATTTCAGTTGTACAGAAAATATAACTGCATCGAAAGAAGTTAACAAGGATGACTTCTTTCATGTAGAAAATTGCATAGAAGAACCCAAAAAGTCTATAGTAGAACCCGTACGCAACAACACTCAACAGGACAAGATATGTCGCAGAAGCAAAGAAAAACGAACCATGGAAAATGTCATAGATTTAAATAATTCTTGTAATATTAATGAAAACGACGATTTCGTAATGCCGATACAAAGTTTAAAACCACAAACGTTTACTGTGAAGACTGGAAAATCGTACAAAAGGTCTCTGTCGTGTTTAAGAAGAAGTTCCTCTCAGCTCCTAGGCAGCACTGTTGCCTTAAGAGATGGTACGTAATAAATTTGTTGCTTTTATATCTCATTTTACGTTTTACTTTTTTGTCGTAATGTATAATTTGTGAATATTTAGGAGGAAGCAGCTGTTCTCTTATCTCCAATATCAGTGATAGCAGGAGAAGACTAAGTAAAGTGTCATTGTCACAAGGATTTAAGGGTTTTCCAAAATCGGGGGATACCCTTCTACAGACTTTTGCAGTTGCTTTTACAGGTAAAATAAATACATGTGGTTTATTTTGTTGTAGAGGAATTTAAATGAATTTTTCTGAAAATGATATTAAATACTAATATGAGTTATTACTAGGGAATTTGGAATAATTAATTAATTTTACAATAACATCTTATAGTTAGTATTTTGGCTTATCTGGCTTATAATAGATTAAGGTGTCATTAAATTCTCCGAGAAATACCTAATTTCTATTATGATTAAGTGCTTTCACAAAATTACCCAAGGAGTGTATACAAGAGGGAGGTTTAAATAGGGATCATAATTCTTCCTAAGAATTAGTTGTAGATGTTATGAGGAAATTTGAAATTAAGATGGTCAGACAAAAATTGAACGAGTTCAAATTTTATTTGCGTAAAAAATAATTGCACCATTTGATGTAAGAAAATCAATAATAACATCTCGAAAACAATTGTTACGGCCATGTCTGTACGCACTTAGGAATAGTCTTACTTATTATATGTATAATAGCGGTTTATAGTATTTCAGAGAAAGCATGAAATATGCAATAAAAAGTTAATAAGCATGCGAGCAAACATTTAAACTTATTCGCGGAATATTCGCGTAAAGAGAACAATTTATCTATCGTATTTACGATTAGTAATAATCTAATAATAATGCATTTGTATGACGTTTACGGTTTACCATTTATTAAAGTAACACGTGGATACGAAAGTAGGTCATCTGACATTAACAAAAATTGTTGTTTGCTTGTAATTTATTACTAATCGTAAGAATCGACATATGATTATTGGGCTATTGATCACGCTAGACAGAATTGTTATTTTTTCTAAAGGTTGAAGGTCATGACAGTCACCTTGTTTCTCAGTCCTTGGCAAATGCGCGAGACTATGGTACAGTGTGTTGCAAAATAAAATTAATTCCTTTGTAAATTTTGTGATAAAATTAACCTTTTTGATGCAGTTTTAATGGGATACACGATACAGTATTATTACAAAATCTAGCGTAATAAAATGAATAATTAATTACAGTTACTAATAACAGTCGAAAAATTATACCTATAAACATTTTGGTGTTTATTACGGTTTAATCCATATGTTTGTTTATTAATTATTATCTGTAAATATACAAACAACATGTTCATTTTTGTTTTACAATACACATACAATTCGATTCAATATAAATAGATTGCTTGTGGCAGCATTAAAATAATAATGTAGGTACATGACGATAACTAAATAGGCCAAATATAGCAAAGATTAGCTGATAAATAATGAGCACATTTAAAAGTTAAATATTTATTAGGTGCTTAACCAATTAATTAGTGGGAGAACCGTGTCTTACTGCCAAATATTTAGATACCGAAATAATTATTTATATTATTATACCTTTTATTACATGTGCAAACATATATTATAAAAATACTTCTTTAAAAATACATGCCTATATAGGTAATAGTAAATAATAAGTACTTAGCAGATTTAAACTTTTATTTAAATAATTAAATATTAAAAAGAAAGGAGATAACGCATTTTTTAATAAAGGCTATTTATTGATTTTTTTATTCAAAAGGGTTCCTAATGATTATGACTCTTTAAGAATTATTACTCTTAATTTGTAGTTTTTATATTAAGTAGGTGCACTTTATTTTTTTTTATTACTACCCTGAAAAAAAAGAAATTATTAAGTGTGTAGTTTAGTAACATGTCAAAAAGTGACTGTTTGGTGAAAGTTTTAGTCATTAAAATTCTCAGTAATTTGAATCACTCATAATTCGTCAAATTGTTACACAAACGGTGGTTCGAAGAGTAACAGTAACAGTAAATTATTATTATTATTAATTAATAGTACAAAGTGTTTTAAAAAAAGGAGTAAAGAAGTGGGGGAAGTGATCTTGAAGTCCGCCAATAAGGACGCTACAAATACCAGGGGACTGTTGTATTGTGGACCGAATTGTGCCGAATTGCGCTTTATTATTACGCACTCAGCTTTTGACTGGTGTGTTGTGCTCGACATTAGTTCGCGTTTATTATTTTTTTAAAATTAAAGTTTTATGCATTACCGCTTAGAAAAAGCCTTCGATTGTCATGAAAAGTGCTTGCATACGTATGTTTCAGCAGGTATTATACCAGACAACACTCAAAACGAAACTTTGGAAGAGAAGTTCGGACGAATATCTGTAAATGAACCGCACAACAACGACAACCAGATCGACGACGACAACGACGCTATTGTAAAGTTACAACAACCGTTACCTATACAATTTGCACCACTTTCTGCTAAAGACCAAGCAAAAGCTGTCGTCTTTGAAAAATGTCGCCAAACAGAACCACTGCCGTTTTCAGAATGTTACCCCGATTCGTAAGTAATATATTTATTTCCTTTTTGGTTTCATAAAATGGACGTCGGTTTTGGTGTGTCTGACGAATTTTAAGATGGCGGGAGTTGGTAAATCGATTTTATTTTCCTTGTCATGCTTATATTTGAAAATACAATCCGTAAAAATTATCAAAAGTTACTGAAATAGTCGAAAAATTTCGTTGTAAACATCAACGATGTGCATTGTGGCTTTGTGTAGATTCGTTTTTAACCTGATGACCTACCTCTGTCTAGAATCCCGTTAATCAAATATTTGGTAAATTCTTGTATTCACGTTGTATAACCCTTAATCGTTGCTGTAAATGTTGCATTTTTTGTTTATTTGTTGTTAATCTTGAGAGCATAGATAATTCCTTATATCGATCTTAAATAATTTGTATTGTTATTAGTAATAGAATAGCAAATTATTTAGGGTAATTTGGCATAGGAGGTTGTAGGGGCTACATTTGCCGTTTTGGTGAATTAAAGAGTTACAATAAATGATGAGAAACAAAAAAATTATTAAATATTTTTTTTTTATAAAATCACAATAAAAATCCTATATTTTATGACAATAATTGAATTATTGAAAAATACTAACTTTTGAAATAGTCATTTAAAGAATTTGCAATTTAAATAATGTGTATTACTCACTTGTTTTAAAAGACCGTTTTTAAAAATGAATAATTTTTATATAAAGATCAGATATATTGGAAAAACTTTGGCAGTTGTTGTAGAACAAACAGAATAGCTCAAAACCCCAACGCCAAAACACGACACTGTAGTCCGAAGCACTTTTCGGTAACAAAGTTACCTTCTTCAGGGACTGAAGTAAACTTAAGTGTCGTGTTTTGGCGTTGGGATTTTGAGCTATTCTGTTTGTTCTAAAGATCAGATATTTTAAGAAGTTTTATTGTCATCATCCACTTAAAATGTTTGTTATTAGACAACTATACTTACACCTGGATTTTATTTACACATATATGTATTTATGTAAAAAAATAACGGTGAATTTAAAACAATAATTTAAGATTGCTATTATTTTATTTTTAGCATTCTGCAAAACTGTTTCAAAATTGGGGAAGGAGTTTACGGGGAAGTATTTCAATTTCGAGGAGAGAATGGCAAACCAACAGTCATGAAAATAATCCCAATCGAAGGGGACCAGCTGGTTAATGGAGAAGTGCAAAAGAAATTTGAAGAGATCATGACTGAAATTGTCATTGCAATGTAAGAAATTACAAAAAAAATTGATAAAGAACGGTTTATTTTGTTAACTGTTCTACTTATATGAATTGCAATCATATTTCAAAATTATCTGCAGTTTAACTACCTGATTTACATTTTTTTTTTCACATTTGATGCTACATTAACTATTAACTATTAATCAATCTTGCATAAAATTTTTGCTTGTGCTGCCTCTCAAAGTTTTGAGATTTAATACAAGGTTGTGAATAACACATTTTTTTGTATAGGGAGTTAAGTTCTTTACGCAATAACAATACCAACATAACAAACACGTTCTCTGAGCTCCAGAGAGTTCGGTGTGTGAAAGGTCGCTGGCCAGCGAGACTTTTGGATCTTTGGGATCTTTATGATGAAGATCGCAAATCAGAAAACGATTCTCCGGAAATATTTGGCGAGGATCAACTCTATATCACACTAGAACTGGCCAATGGTGGCCGTGACCTCGAAGCCTTCGGTTTTACTAATGCCTTACAAGCCTTCTCAGTTTTTCAGCAGGTATAATTCCATAGAGACTTGTAATTAATTTGCTACAAACTTTGTTTCTCTACAGGTTTCATGTGCCTTAGCAGTAGCAGAAGAGTCCTTGGAATTTGAACATCGCGACCTACATTGGGGTAATGTGTTGGTGTCTATTGTTGACCACGACAAAACGGTTAGTTTCGTATTGAATGGTAAAAATATTACTTTGGAAACATACGGGGTGGAGGCGTCTATAATCGATTTCACGCTTTCCCGCATAACAAAAAGTAATTGTTGCATCTTTACCGATGTTAGCAATGACCTGGAATTGTTCACTGCTGAAGGAGATTATCAGTTCGAAATTTACCGTTTGATGAAGAAACGCAATGGGTAAGTTTGTAAATAATAAAATTAAAAAAATTGGCAGTTATAGGGACTGCCGGTAGAAGTGAAAACATAGAACTTTTAGTATTAAAATTTGAAATTTCACAATGTTTGAATAAAAATCAACATCAATCTGGTTTTCACATCTATTGACACTCCGAGCAACAATTATATGCATGTTTATATGTTTTTTTATTATTCAAATATTTACATAAATTTCAATGTACTTGATTTTTAACATTGTTTGCATCATTGTCATCATTAATTTCAACAATTCTTAGACTTTTTGTACTTTCAATTATTTCATTGTGTTCTAAAAAAAATACAATAGGCTTATGGTAACTAAAGTAAGAAATGAAAACGTTTGATTGAAATTTATCTAAGTATCGCGCAAAAACCGCATCGATCGTCGTAGCTGTATATCTACAGATATACTACTACAAGCATGTCGGTGACGCGAACGCACTACATTTCACCCATCCAAAAAGCGTCTAACGCCTACAGCACACGGCCGCTGCGCGTGCGCCAGTCGTGAGCATCTCGGTGACGCGAACCCATAACATTTTCCCTTGCCGAAAAATGCCCAACGTCGCTAAAGAAGTTTTCACTTCAAAAATATAGAACTGTTCAGGGGTGTAGCTTCTCTTCGTTCATTTCTCATCCTTTTTCAGAATTAAAAATGTTGTTTTCCAGTTTTATTTCAGAAAATCAAACAACTAAATAAAACACTCAAATCCTAAATTTCACGCAAACAGTTTAGAAACTTTTGGATTCAGATTTTCTAACTGAAAATGACACTTTAGGTTTCTAAACGCATGTATTTAGCTGAATATCTAATTGTCATGCATTCCTGATTAATTAATTTTTTTGAACAGTGTAGTTTTGCTTTTTAATGTCTCAAAAAGTATATATTGTTTTTGAATATGTACTGTCTAAATAATTTTTAATGTATTTATTATTTAAACTTTCAGAAACGAATGGGAACATTTTGAGCCTTACACTAATGTGTTGTGGTTACACTATTTATTAGATAAAGCTGTTACTGCCCTTCGCTACCGCAGCACCAAGTCCAAATTGCACAAAGAGTACATTCGAAAACTTCGAAATATCAAAGATGTAATACTTGAGTACACAAGTGTTAAAGATTACGTCATTAATAACTTTCAGTTTACTTTTTAATCCTAATTTTTTTATTGAAAAAGCGTAATTATATAAGAGCGATTTATTTTTGTCTTTGTCGTGCAGTGTCAATTAATGTTTTTACTTCTTTCTTTTTGAATGACTTTGTACAATAAAAGTATGTGTTGTTATATCTTTTTTTTTTTTTCACAATTATGTACATAATGTTTTATTTTAAATTGTTTCTACAATTGCAGCCGACATTTTCAAATGATGAAAACTGCTAGTCTCCGTGCTTTTCGTTGTTGAAATTTTAGACCAATAAGTCAGGAAAATTCTGATAATATTAAAGACATTTACTATAAAAGCGTTCACTTAATGCTTAGTGTACATCAGTAAAACAAGTGAACTTATGTAAACAGAAAATTTTAATAATGAAATAAAGCAATATAATAAAAGATTAATATTTATCTACAACATTTACTTATATTCATGTTCATTTCTTTTTTGGTTTTAATTTCAAGTACAGGACCAGACCTGCAATGGCACCATAGGTGGCAAGAGCAACCTGAAAAAATAGAAACATTAAGTCATACATTGTTTTACCTGTTCTATTGAAAAATAAAACCATTACTTGATTTAATGAAACTGCTTACAAAACAGTTATGTTAGCAAAAGTATATTAACTTCAAAAGTTGCAAGTAAAATTGATATTAATAAATTTTAAAAACTGTTATTCAACAGCACAATCTATTAAAGGTTAATATACCAAAGAGTACAGTAATAATTATCTTTTTTAATATAAGAATAGGAACTATATATTTGTGGTTCTTGTAATACCATTTAATAATAATAGAAATGTGAGGTTTGCATTTATCTACTTTGTATAATCATTGGATAAAAATGTGCAAAATTATTATACTAATGACTTCAAGTCTAAAAAATATACACAAGTAGAGTAAATGTAGAAAAACTTACGTTAGCTCGCCCTCGTACAGTTTGCGCATTGAATATTTTGCTAATGCCTTTAAGCTTGCTTTCATCAACTGTATCAGCTCCGGCCATTTTTAAGAAGAAACTTTAATTTATCGCCGAAACAGAAAAATTATAATTTTACAGTATTACAAAATCAATTTTTTTTATTAAAATAATTACGTAAGGTAAATGTCTATAACTTTAAACAATCGTTGACGATTGACATTAGGATTTGGGGTTAATATCACAGAAGGAACATCATATGGTTGTAGTGATTCTGTAACATCAGACGAAAAAATACAATGTATTTATTAATAAGCAAAATGGAATAAGTGTATTGAATTCTATTATTTATTTTAAATATTTTTCTGCAGATGAAAAACTACTTACTTGTATATTTTCAGAATTCTTTTATTTCAATTCAAAAAGTCATAGTTATTCACACTTACATTTCTTTTTTCTAGAGCCTTTAGTTAATTTTCGGTAAACCATAAATAATGCCATAGCTAAAAATACATCAGATTTAATTCGTTACAGTTAATGTTTCTTAATAATATATATTCCACACCTGACAATGTAGCAAGTGCAACCTGAAACAAATATTTATTATATTAATTTTCCGAATAATAGAATTGCTTTCTTACATTAGCTCTTCCTCGAATGGTACAGTTGTTAAAGATTCTAGAAAATCCTTTTAACGAAGGATCATCGTAAGGTTCATGAGCCATAATTAATTTTTATTAACTTAGGAAGAGATTACGAATTAGAAAGAACTTACAGGAATTTTGGTTATTTGTATTGTAACAACAATATTTGACTTTTTTGACAATTTTTATGACAAATAAAGTAGATTTACTTACTTTGCAGCATTTTTATATTTACTCTTTTATCCCATGATATTGTATACCAGTGAAATTATACAGCTATGTTTAAATATTTCTACAAACCTTATTTTAAGTCTACTAATATGTATACGTAAATTAGTTAGTTTTTTTTAGTAGTTTTTCTAAAAGTTGCATTTCAGATATTTCCAGATAGGATAAAAAAATCAAGCGTATTTGTAGACATTATTATTTGTAATGCGGTCAAATTTCAAATTATAGAATTTAATAAAAAAGAGAGAAAAGCATAATTTCTTGAGGTAGATAAAGATGGCGAACGATTTGAAGTTAGCATTTTAGTCAGTTTTAGTTAGTTCAATGGTTTTAATATAATTTTGGTTATGTGTTGGGTGAATTTGGCGGGATTTGTTGTTTAATTTGTAGCGTTAGATATGTTCATTACTGAGCGATAAATATAAATTGTTACACTAACGAGTTTTTTTAACAAACGTGTATATATTGCAACGAAAACAGTGTAGCAACAAAAACCATGTCTTCAGTATGTAAACATGTTTATCAGTTTTCGCAAATGTTTTCATTTTGTTGTAAATTAGGAACCATCACCACCACCGATGTCTGCTAGAGATGCCCGATCTGCAATGACATCACCTGTACAAGATTTTGAACCATTTGAAGATGAAGCAGATATACTTGGGGACATGTCACAAGCAGATGATGCTATGCAAGAAGAGGAAGAGGGCGAAGAACTTTTTGGGGACAATATGGAAGCGTAAGTTGTTCATTCTCAAGTGTTCATATTGTGTTAATTTTGCTCTTTAAATTTAAGTGATTATCGCCACATTCCGGAGTTAGATACATATGATATTGATAATTTAGATACAGAAGAATATGATGAGTTATCTCCAACTGCACGGTTGGCTGCTGAAAGAGAACTACAACGTAGAGACAGAGAGAGAGGCATTATAAGAAGAGATGATAGAGAACTGTTTTATGATAAAACTGATGAAGAAGTTTGTTGCCTTTTATATTGACATTGGTGATTTCTTTAATAACTATGCATCAATTGTAGGACCCTAAGAAAAAACGCCGCTTGGCGGAAAAAGCCGCTGTAGGGGAAATTGAAGATGCTGAAATGATAGAGTCAATTGAAAATTTGGAGGATACAAAAGGTTACAGCATTAAAGAGTGGGTCACGATGATGGGTCCTCGTACTGAAATAGCAAATCGTTTTAAGAACTTTTTACGAACATTTGCAAATTCAAAAGGCCAGTATGTTTATAAAGAAAGAATTCGGCGAATGTGTGAGAATAACCAGGTATTTAAATATATGAAACCCTTTTTTTTTGTTTTAAATGTAGCTTTTATTTTATTACAGAGTAGTTTTGTGGTGGAATTTCCTACATTGGCAAATCAGGAACAAGTTTTGGCCTATTTCTTACCTGAAGCACCTTTTCAAATGCTGGAAATATTTGATGAAGTTGCAAAGGAGACTGTTTTGTCCATATTTCCTAGTTATGAAAGAGTAACTAATGAAATTCATGTTCGAATAGCTGATCTTCCTCTTATTGAAGAGCTAAGAACTTTTAGGTATATTTCTAATTTTTAGTTGTTTTTAAAAAATGATATGCTTTTTAAAAATAGAAAGCTACATGTAAATCAGCTGGTGAGGACATTGGGTGTAGTAACGGCAACAACTGGTGTTATGCCGCAACTGTCTATTGTAAAGTATGACTGTAGTAAATGTGGTTTCATTCTGGGTCCTTTTGTACAATCACAATACAATGAAGTACAACCAGGAGCCTGTCCTGAGTGTCAGAGTACCGGACCTTTTATGGTAAGGGGAAGATAATTAATTTTTATTTATGAAGGCTAAAAAGCTATTTACATAATTACAGATTAATATGGAACAAACCCTTTATCGAAATTATCAGAGAATAACGTTGCAAGAGTCTCCTGGTCGTATTCCTGCTGGCAGAGTACCACGTTCAAAAGACTGTATCCTTTTGGCAGATCTTTGTGATCGTTGTAAGCCAGGGGATGAGGTAGACGTTACAGGAGTTTACACAAACAATTATGATGGTTCATTGAACACTGAAAACGGGTTTCCAGTCTTTTCTACAGTCATATTCGCTAATCATCTTGTCGTGAAGGATTGTAAACAGATTGTACAAAGTTTAACCGATGATGATATTAATGTTATCATGAAAATGAGCAAAGACAGGCGGATTGTCGATCGAATCATTGCTTCAATCGCTCCTTCAATTTATGGGCATGAATATATTAAGAGAGGTTTGGCTATGGCCTTATTTGGGGGAGAATCAAAGAATCCTGGTAAATTTATTTGTTCTCTTTCATTTAAAAATTTGCTAAATTGTTGGTATTTATTTATTCCAGCTTACAAACTTTGATGGTTAATTCATTAGATATTTTTTTCATATTGCATATTTTCTAGTCTGTTTTTCTTCTAGGCCAAAAGCATAAAGTTAGGGGGGATATTAATGTTTTGGTCTGCGGCGATCCGGGTACGGCAAAATCGCAATTTTTGAAATTTGTAGAGAAAATTGCCCCGAGGGCTGTCTTCACTACCGGGCAGGGCGCTAGTGCTGTAGGTTTAACCGCGTACGTCCGCAGGAACCCCTCAAATAGAGAATGGACTCTAGAAGCAGGTGCTCTCGTTTTGGCTGATCAAGGAGTTTGTCTTATTGACGAATTTGATAAAGTAAAATTATAGTATATTGGAATTCATTTTGCAAACTTATCAAGGCTTTTTTTTTTTAATTTATAGATGAATGATCAAGATCGTACCTCTATTCATGAAGCAATGGAACAGCAATCGATTTCTATTTCTAAAGCAGGCATTGTGACTAGTTTGCAAGCTAGGTGTTCTGTAATAGCAGCCGCTAATCCCATTGGGGGTCGATACGACGCCAGTATGACCTTTGCCGAAAATGTTAACTTATCTGATCCCATACTTTCTCGTTTTGATATATTATGCGTTGTTAGAGACGAGGTTGATCCTATTCAAGATCAACATTTAGCAGAGTATGTTCAACTTCTTTATTACTTTTTATTTTTGTGTATTCCTGTCAAATCTATTTTTAAAGTGAAACAGAAGATAAAATTGTTAATTAAGTAGTTCAGATTTGTTTTTCTGTACTGTTACAATTTTTTACGTTATATTATCTGAAAAATTGATTTCCGACAATTAGGTTTGTGGTGTCATCACATATTCGTCATCATCCGTCAAAGAAAGGCGAAGGTTTGACATCAACAGAAGTAACAAATGAACTGGCTATTCCACAAGAGATGCTTAAGAAATATATAGTATATGCCAGAGAAAACGTCCATCCAAAACTTCAAAATATAGATCAAGACAAAGTGGCAAAAATATACAGTCAGTTGCGACAAGAATCATTAGTAAGATATTTTATATTATTAAGCTTTTTAGTTTTTCAAATGTAACATTTTAATTTAAAAGTTCCAATGTTTTTATCCTCTTATTTTTATCCTTTTTCGTTCTAACAGGCTACAGGAAGTTTACCTATTACTGTAAGACACATAGAAAGTATTATAAGAATGGCTGAAGCTCATGCCAAAATGCATTTACGTGATTATGTTCAAGAAGATGATGTTAATATGGCTGTTCGTATGATGCTTGAGAGTTTCATTGATACACAAAAATATAGTGTTATGAAGTCTATGAGACAGGTAATGAATGTACATCTTATTATTTATTGTTTGGCTTTCATTTAGTTATAAACATGTATATGAAGACCACTACTAACTCTGTAATTACAATAAGGGACGGCAAGCGGCGTGGTCTACCGTTCTACGTAATAATTTAGCGTTTGTGCTTCATCTGTTTCTCCCCAACCATCTCCACCCACCTTTGTGCACGATTCCTAAAAGGAGGTTAAAGAGGACCTTCTACTCTATCCTTCTGCTTTGCACTAGAATGTGGGTGTAGGGGACTACACGCCCACCGGTATTTTTTAGTAGGATTGAAGCTCAAAAGATTTTAGGAAGGGATAGAAAATAAACTTTCATTTTTTCTTTATTTATAGGTATTTCAAAGATATCTTCTCTTCAAAAAGGACCATAGTGAATTGTTGTTCTATATCTTAAGGCAACTTACTCAAGATCAGCTGGCATTTATGAGAGGTACAAGTAATTGTAATACTTCAAACATTGAAATTGATGAAAAAGATCTTCTGGATAAGGTAATAACAATTTCTTATTTTTTTTTATTTTTCTAATATCTCTTTTTTTTTCTTACTAAATTGTAGGCTAAGCAGTTGGACATATTTGATTTGAAACCTTTCTACCAAAGTAAAATATTTGAATCAAACAATTTTATTTACGATCCCCGACGAAAAGTAATCATTCACACTCTTCCTGATACTCAAATATCTGAAGACTAAAATAATGCCTTTAATTTTAATACTATTTTAATTTTTTTGTATTCTCAAATACCTATTGTTACTGTACATTTATGATTGTCTCAGTAAAGAAAAATAGAATTAAATTGTATTATATTTTTAAAAGTTTGAGATTTATTATATAAAAATTAAAAGTCAGTTTAAATGGATAAAGCTATATACAGTGCTTCACATTTTACATTCAGTCAGAGTCAGAACTTGAGGATGAAGACGTGGAAGTTGAGGAAGATGAGTCTTTATTATCTGTGTCTGAATCGGAAGATGTATCATTTGAACTACTTTCTGATGAACTGTCTTCACTGCTGCTTTCTGACGATGAACTTTGTTTTTTTTGATCAGAACTGCTTTTGTCTTCTTTTCTATAAAAATATGTTTTTTAAAAATTGATCATTAAGTAACTTTTTGGAAACAAAATTAAGGTAGTTTATCATAAAATAGTGATTGGTAGTGTACCCATCCTTGGTTGTAGTATTAGCCTGTTCTCTGAGCTTAATCCGCTTCTGTAACTGTTTGGTTCTTGAAGATCGGTGCAAATACTTCCTCTTTCCTTTACATTCGTATGACCAGTGTCCATATTCCAGGCATTTTTGACAACGGATACCTTGTGGAGGGTATGTGGGCTGTTTCCTAAATAAAGAGCAATAAATAGACAAAATATAAATGTTCATAATTATGTAACACTTACCTTTTATTTGAAAACACTTTATTAGGATTACCGAGGGTCATTTTTACATTAAATATTCGTTTTTTTCTTGTTTTTAAATGTTTGTAAATATAAAAGTTAGGTTAAGTTTACCTTATCGTTTCAATTGATGTCATTCATAGATAAGATGCCATTTGAATTTTAATACAGGACAGTACTTAAACTATTTTGATCTATTTTATTTAAAAAACACTTAAACTTAATGTAACTTACAAAGTAATAATTAGTGATCTTATAGACTTGCTGAATATATTTCATTGAAATTTCTTGGTACTTAATGATATTTCGGTAAGGCTTCTTAACTATGAATGATTAATGTTTAAAAGTATTGTTCTGTTGTTTTCTTTAATCAATTAAAAGTTCGGTCACACATGATCAGATATTTGGTTTATTATGTAAATAATATTTATGAATATATTACATTTTTCGTAGATAGTGAGTCTTAATTTTTTTAGAAATAACATGGACAGTTTTTGTAGCAAATAATTTAAGTAATTCATGTCTCTGAAGAAGTGTATATCCAAACGAATCTACTTTTAATAATTCTTCTTTAGGCATTTCTTTTAAATGTTGTTCTTCTGCTCTTAAATATTGCATTAGAACACACAGTTTACCAATTATTCCTAAATTTTCAAAGTTATTAATATTTAATAGTTCATTTATTTCTGATATTTTGTGAAATGGTTTTAAAGCACCATGCTTTATGATTGACTTGGAATCAAAGAAACCATAAAAACTGTCCATGTTAGTTTTAAGAGTTATTTCTTCTAGACTCATATTTTGCAGTAAAAGATCTATTGCTGCATAAGGTAATAAATTAACATTGAATTTAAGATCAGGTGAAATTTGGATCATCTCATGTTTTTGTTGTATGTGGAGTGGTTCTTGGGCAGCTCTTCTTAATGCATTAAGACTTTGATTGTAGCTTGATTCCTCTTCCTTGATATAAATTTGCTCAATTTCCTTGTGCTTTACCACAGATGAGTCAGTGATAGTTGCATTGCTTGCTTCAGTGGGTTTGTTTTGGGCAGGGCTTCTTGTTATTTCATTTGCTTGAGAAGCCAAGTTTATTTGCTTTGGTGTATCATCATTGCTGTGTATAGAAATGATCTTGTTTTCCACTGTTGCACTTTCTTCGTCTTCAGATTCTGAGTGAACATTTTCAACAACATAATCTTCTATACGAAAAGAACCATTACTTATTTTATCTAGTACTAGTTTATAATCACAATCAAATTTTACTTTTACGCAATTATTTTCATCAGTTGGCAACATATTATCCGGCAGTTTAACACGTTCCATTTCTAATAATTTTGTTTGATTTAGAAGATGTTTTAATCTTATAGGGGTTGGTTTGTCAAGAGCTTCTCTGCCGTCCTCTTCAACTTCTTCAAAAAATACATTTGTGCCAATAGTGTCACTGTATTTGCCCTTGTATAAAACATCATCTAACTGTACAAGGGGTGTATCAGAATCCAAATTTATCATCTTGAAAAACATTTTATTTCGTTTAAAAGTGGTTGGAGGAAGTACGCCTTTAAAATCGAGAAATAAATAAATTTCTTTTTCTTCATACTCCATACTTTTAAAACTTATACTAAAAGGGCAAAAATTGTTTTAAATTTAAATAGTTCCAGTTAAAATCTTCAAAATAACATTTAAAAGTATTTAAAATTAGCACAAATTATTGAGGTTATGTAGAGTAGCATAGACAAATAGAGCAGAGTATTATCTATGCCAGAGCACAGTATGGCTATAGACTATATACTTTATAGATGATCAGCTTGAATTTTTGTAAAAATAATGTGCTGCCCTCTGAAGTTTATATGCAGAAGATCACACAGTCTAGTGAATGCTACTAATATGTAGGAATTACTGCTAAAGTTGACGCCATCTAGCAGTTAGTAGAATATCGATATATGACAGTAAATTTGAAAATTGCAGTGCTACATGGGTTCCCAGTTATATTTATTTTTCTTACTACAAAAAAAAGAAGGGATACAGAAAATTGTTTATTTATGTGTTAACGAATACAATATTTTATGTTAGGTTTTAATTTCTTTGTAACTGCACATTGCAAAATGTCTGGTTGGAAAGACGCAAACTGATTGCTAGATGGCGTCGAAATTCGGGATAATTTCTACATATTAGTAGCATTCAGTGGAGACTCTGGTACGACCTTTTGGATATAAACTTCAGGGGGCAGCACATTTCTGTAAAAATTCCAGTTCACTTTCTATTAGGTATATAACATATAACTATGATGTAGAGCAGCGGTTCCCAATTTGTTTTGCTACGGAATTCTTTTTGACCACCCTTTTTTTGGCGGAACGCCATCTCAACAAAAGGTCATTCAAATTTGATTTAATTGCTAATGTTGATCATGTTCCCATACTCTGACAGTTAACATTGTTGGTTTAGCCTGATTTGTGAATGAATTCTGTACTGCTTGATTGTCTTGCAATTCCTTTGGAAAATATTCCTTTAAGGATTTTTTGAGATTATGATTTTACTCATATATGTGGTTACTTTGACCATTACTCTTTGAATAAGTCTATTTAGAAGAGGAAGAAAAGATATTTTGTTTCTCATTGTATGCGTAGTTGTAGTTCTTTACTGTAAGGAAATGCTGATTATGTTGAGTTTATTGAATGTTTGGGTTAACTAAAACAATTTAATTATCCACTTCTCGTCATGCAATAGTTCGATATCTCTCAAAAGACATCTCACATCTGTATGTAGAAAAAGTGATTAATGCTGACGTCCCATATATTCACATGCTTTTTTAAAAAGACTTAACTGCAATTTATCTGTTGCTAAGGATATTCTGGGATAACATAAGCTACATTAAAAAATTGCCGTAAATATCAAAATAAATAAATGAGTCAGACTGCTTTGCGTAATCAGACAGGGTTTATCCGCATATAATACTGATAATAAATAAACAAAATGACCGAGGTAACTAATGAACAATTATATCCAATTTATTGTATCCTAACGTAAGACCGAATGCCCTATTCTCTCATCTGGCATCTAGGTATATTTCTTTTACAAAAATAGCGGCCCCGTTCCTATCATAAAATGAACCGTTAGGGTTCGGCCTTTGTTCACTGATTTGGCCATGAAAAATAAGCCGTTCTTATGGTTAAATACACAACGGGTGCTTTTCTCAATATTTTATATACTTTTATTAGGAAAAAAAACGCCGTAACTCGCGCAACCTCATTTGGGAACCGCTGATGTAGAGAATGCCGTTTGAAAGTTTAGACTAAATTCTGATAGATGTCCTTAATAGTACGACGTTGAACATAAATTTAAAAATGCAATATTCCGCGCTGTCTTTTTACGACTAGAAGGGACTTTATAGTTTTGCTATCTGATGTAAAGAATTTGAACTACAATAGGGATAATTAAATGTTGTAGTTGATGATTATCACTTGGAACAGGACTATTCAAGCAACTTAAAAGGGTGAAAAGTGTTTTATTTATTAATAAACAACGAACCTTTAAGTTGCTTGAATAGTCCTGTGCATTAGTATTAGGGGAAGAATTACGAATATGTATAACTTGGAACGTTTGTATGTACCTTGAAAGGAAATGTAATTCTTTTAGCCATTTTGTTAAAATAGGAGAAAAGAATTAATTTTTATCATAATTACTTAAAAGAAAAAGCAACAAGTTATTTTCGTTTTTGCCAGACATTTTAAATTGTTTTAGTGTGGCTAATAAACAAGCAAACATGTAAAGAAATGTAACCGTTTCAAATTGACTTTGTTTTCCAGTTATTCAACGTTTAAAAAGATTACAGTAAGAATTATCTCGTTTGAGATCATAAAAGTAATTAAAGATTGCCTTGTTCATCTTCAAAGCCTTTCTTTACATTAAGATAATAAATCCTAAAAGTCGTTCCTAAAATAAGTTTGTTGGAGGTAATAACGACGGTTTTATTAGGACGTTATTATGTTTTATTACAAACAATTGAATGCATTACTAATTAGTTAAACATTGCAGAAGTATTACCTTCTGAGAGAACTGCAGTGCAATAAAAATACGCAAAAAGTTGAAGATAATTCAGTTTAAGAATAAAATAAAAAAAAAAAATAAAGAACTAAGTTTGTTTTGGTTTCGGGAATTTAATTTATGTTAATGTAGATAATATTCACAAGTAATATTTAAAATCTGTTGTTTATATTTTTTATTTTGTTTTATTTTTGCTGTGCATGTTGACGTCAATTTGATTTTAATCTATCATAAATGACAATCAATAAATCAATTATCACTCGAATCCATGTTTTCTTTATGCCTATATTTTGATTTATAAATGTTTTTTGTTTTTATCAAAAGTTTTGCAACACAAACATACACATGTAATTTAAAATTTAATTTTTATTCCTTCAATATTGAAAATATATTCGAATCTATTAGAATATCAATCTTGGCGTTTGTATGCTATATTTTTAATAAAAAACGGACAGACAGACACACGATTGATCTTATAAGGGTTCCGTTTTTCATTGGGACGTACGGAACCCTAACTCGAGAATCAACTTGTAGTTGAAAACGAACATGTTTTCCCATACATTCAAATTGAAAATGTAAATTTGTATGCACAATATATTCTATAGGTAAATAACTATTTTCTGTATTTATTTCAAAGTTTTAGGTTCAGTACTTTCGGAGAAAAGGGTGGGGAAAGGTCAAAATTAATTTCCTTTCTTAAATAACTTTAAAACTATTTATTTTAAAATTTAAAAAATATATTTTTGAGACCTTTACAACAAGCCCTTTCATTTGATATGTCACACGGTACAGTTTGCAAAACTTTCAAAAATGACCTCCCTGTTCAAAATTAATTTATTTACGTTATGCGTTTGTGTTTGGGTTACAGAAATTCATATGTGTACCTAAATTTCTACTTAATCGGTCCAGTATATCCGGAGCAAATTAACTGTGACAGATGGACAGATAGACACACGAGAGATCCTAAAAGGATTCCGTTTTGCGTTCGGACGTACGGAACCCTAAAAAGGAAGGGAGAAAACCCCTACCGAAAGATCTTCCTTTGGTACCTAATGCACTACCTATTAGTAAACTTACTCTGACTAAATAATTGGCTGAATTATTATATCGGGGTAGTTTTTACGTATGCGTTTATTATCAATGTAGGTAATTTAAAAAGTGATACCTGCTTACAATTAGGTCATTAAAAAAGACACACATATGTGTTGAATCCGAAGTGCCAGTAACTAAATAAATACATAGTCAAATCTGCAGTTTTAGAAACCTTGGTTGTTACCATGTGAAAAATGATAATCAAGTAATAACTCTGTTAAGCTGTATTAAAAGATTTATTTAATCGTAAATATGATCTATAATGCATCTGACGTCAAGGACTTATTCAGTTTTTTTAAGTAATTACATGCAGGATCAAGATATTATTTAAAACTGATATTCTATTGTTTATAGGGAAGAATTAC